TGGGACAGGAATAAAATCCTCCGGGCCAAAAGCCTTGCTTTGACCTTGATTCTGCTGAGCCAGGTTCAGGGTCTCAGAGAGTTTGGGGGCTTGGGGTGACGGGAGTCAGAGCCAGGGGAGGGGCCGATGGTCAATATTGATCTAGCTGAGTCAGGGGAGCAGGATGGGGAAGCGGGAAGGCTGGGGTGGGGCCTGCCGATAACTGAATCTTCCAGCTGCCAGTGTGACTGTGGGAACCGGGGAAGGGGGTGCTCAACACAGAATTCCCAAACTGGGCCCTTGCTAAGACTACAGCCGCCTGGAGCCCTGCCCAGTCCAGCTTTCCTGATCCCTGTGGGTGGAGCCTGAAGTGTCTGTATTTTTAGCAAATTTCCCGGGTGATTCTGAGCAGCCAGCCGAGTTCCCATATATATTTGGGCCCCACGGGTTCACCCCTGTTGCTGTAATGATGAGGAAACTGAGGTCCAGAGAGGGAAAGTAACACACCCAAGGTCACACCGGGAGAGAATGATGATAATCCCTCCCTTTTTCTTGCGGGAAGAGATAGTCCACTTCTAGATAACTCCATTCACCATCTGCTGTGGCCCAAGGCCCTGGAAGGGATGGCCGCCCAGAGGGAAGTGGCCTCTGAGACCTTTGCGGGCCCAGGTGGAGAAGGGAGGGTGGGGCTCATCCCAGGAGGAAGGACAAGGAGGGGGGCCATTCCCACAGGACTGGACCTGCCCCACCTTGCCCTCTGCAAACACTCCCAGCACCTGCTGGGGGATGTTCCCTAAAAGGTATATATTATGGCCCTGGTCTGGGAAAGGCCATTTCCATTGCTGGGGACCCACCCATGCCCTGGAAAGGCACACCCCCAACACGGTAGGGTCGGGGCACTCTCGGCCTTCTGACGCCTCTGGCCCCTTTCTCCCCCCTACCTGACCCACCGTTCTGGGCTCTCAGCCTGGCTCTTGCCTGCATTCTTCCGCCGCATCTCAATCTGCTGAGCATCCACACAGATCCCCTCCAGACCCCCAGTCACTGCCACGCCCCTCCTACTCTTTCTTCTAGCTCCCACAACCTTCACACCAGGGCCAGCCCTCATCCCAGCCCACCCTGAATGCCGGTTCTCACTTTCTGGGGTGGCATCGGGGATTCCTGGGGACAGGAGACAAGCTAGCTCATCTCTGGGTCCCCCTCAGAGCCCAGCCCGTCTGCCGCATGCCCTAGCAGTTGTTCGGAGTGGTTCCTATTCCGAGTCTCACCTCCCTCCCTCCCTGGGCCATTTTGGGCAAGTGCTGCCTTTACTTTCTGCACCACCGTCCCCTTGTTCGTGGAATGAAGAGAATAGTAGTGCCCAGCAGGGGGGTGAACTGAGGGTTGTGAGAGCACATATAAAGGAGGTCAGGTGTGCACACATTCCAGCAGCCCACATTTGTCAGGCGTCTACCCCGGGGCAAGGATGATGATACCTGCTGCGTGCATCCTGAGCGTGGACCAAGTGCTGACCGCCTTCAAGGAGCACACGGTTATGTAGACACTTGCTCAGGTGACTTCAAGCCAGCAAGCTCTGGCGAGGTGGGTAGTGGAGGTCGCGGAGCTCATGGAGGGACCTAACACAGTGCATGCTGGGAAGGAGGCAGGGCCTTCCCGGAGAAGGTACCGCAGCTGTGTCCTGAAGGGTGCGGAGGTGTTGCTATGCACTGAGCAAGGAATAAGAGGGAAACCAAGCCTCTGCAGTGAGTTCTGGCGTAAATGGGCAGTGAACAGGTGGAGACTACAGGTGGAGACCACTAAGAGATGAGGCAGCAGGTGGAAGGGATAGGGGTCAAAGAGATGGGGTTCCTGAGAATCCCAGCCACTGTTTGCTGGCCGTCCACAGATGGGGAAACACAGACCAGGGGCCTGGAGAGAACAGAGCTCTGCGTGTTTGAGTCCCGGCTCTCTGTCTTGCAAGAAGCCTCTTTGCCTCTGAGCCTCATTTTCTTCATCTTCAAAATAGGGCTGTTGTAACTGGGACAAGAGGTGTGAAAGCAGTTTGTGAACTGTAAAGGATCATGCCTCTGTCGATAATAATAGTGCTTTAAGTGGAGCTGGCACTTTGCGAGGTAAAGGATACTTCCTGAGGTCTGCTGGAAGCTCCCGGAGCTTCGCAGGCACACAGAACCCCGGACCTCCTGTAACCTGCTCCTGGGCTGCCACCTGCTGGCAAGTGCCTGCAATGGCAGCCCAAGCTCTCAATTCCTTCCTGCTGCCCAGGCGGGAGATCCAAGGCGCCTGAAGGCTTAGGTCCAAGCAGTCCTGGCGCTGCCGTGCCAGGCTCCCGGGCAAGAGTGCAAATAAAAGCCTTAGGTCCCCCTGTGACCCGCTTCCTTGTGCTTTTCAGCCTTACTGCCAAGGTCCTCACGTGTGTGAGGGGCACATGCCCCATAGACACACGCCCCTGGCCACCTCACAGGCCAGCAGGCAGGACAGACCCAGAAAGCAGCTGGCGTGGGAATTCTGGAGCCCAGACACCTGTAGCGTGGTCTGGAGAGGACCATAGGCTCCAGAATTCACAACCCCCCAATCTTGTGGAATCAGGCCTCTTAGGTGTGTGTGCGGGGGGTGGGGCGGGAATGGCTTACGGTGAGCAACTCATCTGTTTTGCCTGGGACTGTCGGGTTTCGCACTGAAAATTCCACGTCAGCAAACGGGATGGTTGGTCACCCTGTCATGGCCTGATGGATCCAAAGCCTCTGCATCACCACCCTGGCCCAGCCTGAGCAGCTTGGGCTCAGGGAACCACACTAGCCCCTAATGCAGCACTGGCCTCCCTTCTTCCAGTAAAGCCAGTCCACCACCCCTCTCACCAGCCCCAGCACAGGTGAAACTGCCCCCGACACTAGTTTCACAGATAGTTTGTGGGTAAAGAGACCCTTCCTCCCCCTCTGACATTCTCCAAACCCCTCTCCAGGGGCTCTGAGGCCTGGGGGCTTGCCTGCGAGGTTGGGCAGGAGGAAAGAGAATGGGTGGGGAGGGACTTCTTCTGGAACAACCTCCTCATTATACAAGGAAACCAAGGCCCAGAGGAGAAGAGCCTTGCCCCAGGCCCCCGAGGGAGACTCTGCTGTTGGCCACTGGAGGCAACTCACGCCTACCCATTGCTCTTGTTAAGGGCACTCCACGTGCCTGAGAGGGAGCCAACCCCATCCCAGGCTCTAAGGCTGGGGCACGTGGTCCAGGCATAATCCCACAGTGATTGGCTCAGACTTAAGCACGTGACCACGTTAGTCCAATCAGAATGAAGACCTGGGCCTTCATTTTGCAAATGCCAAGAACTAGAACAGGAAACTGACAAACTCTCCCAGTGCCCTGCTTGACCAAGACAGAGAGACAGCCAGTGCACAGAAGTTTGTAGCTATTTATTGCACTGAAAACACCAAGAATAAAACAGACACCCCTTCTTCCCCCCAACCCCACAATAGCAGAAAGTTTGAGCAGTGGTCATTCAAGTTCACAGCCACATATTTTAAAAAAGGAAGAACGGAAACGAAACGCCAAACAAATAGTAACAAAGAAACCAGCACAGGGAGTCTGGCAAATACATCCCCAAAAGGGTCTCCCTTTGACGGGAGACAGGAGGCCAGGGGTCAGGATCAGCGCTTGCTGGGCGCACACCCGGGAGAATGCTTTCCCGTTAATGTGTTTGCATGCTGGAGCCTAGGACTTGTCTTAGGTCTGGATTTTTTGCATCTGCAGGATGTTTGACTGTCTGGTGGGGTTGGGCTCTGGGCCGCGCTTTGTCTGCCAGTCTCCCCTGCCTGCTGTTTTGGGATCACACCGGTGCCCTGTGGTCCACACCGGCTGGCTGCGCACCCACAGGCTTGGCCTTCGCAGTGGGGCCATCTTGGCCTGGGGTAGGGACTGGCCTCCACTTCTCTGGCACCCAGAGAGGGGCACAGTGGCCAGGAGGTGCGTCAGCAGATGAAAGGCAGGACATTGGTGTCCTCCAGCTCAGCTCCCTCTGGTGGGGAACCGAGGGGAGAGCGGGGAAAGGACTTTCCCAAGGTCACACAGCAAGTCTGGTCAGAGCTGGGAATGGAATCCTAATAACCCCCAAACTGTGGCTCTTTCCCCCGCAGTCCCCTGCTGATTAGCAGAGGACAGGCACCAAAGAGGGGGGTGAGGGGCAGGCGGGGGAGGGAGGGGGGACTGGCCAGGCCCAGAAAAGAACAGGAGTCCAGGCAGTGACTCACACTGTCAATTCTCATGGGTGTATTGGGCTTCACCTCACCATCCTGTTTGATTCCCCCATCAGCCCTGCCACATAGGCTGGGCGGGAATACTTAACCCCTTTAACGGAGGGGGAAACTGAGGCTGAAGGAAGGACCAGACTTTGCCTTGGTAATGGCAGCAACCCCTCACCTTTGGCTTGGGGATGGCTGTGGGAGCTGGCAGATAGCAAGGGAGGCAGGCGGTTTGGCTGCTGGAGCGCTGGGGTCACTGGGCCTTACTGGGAAGCCTTCTGGACCTGGGGCAGGCCAAATGCCCGCCTGGGCCTTGGCAGCAGGGTCTTTGCCAAGGATAGAGGCCAGTGATCGACCAGTTTGGAGACCAGGAGGGCTGGGCAGCCTCTCTCCTGGCCTACGGCCCCCACCCAGCCTGCCTCACCTGTCCCGCGGGCAGGAACTCTTGAGAATGGGCCCAGCAGACAGCTCATGATTGGGGAAAACTCAGAAAGTCCTGGGTCACATCCCCACCAGTCCGGCTCCACTCAACACCCAGGATTCCCCAGAGGTTTGAGGGAATCAGAGACTCCTCCAAATCTTTGGGGATGTGGCTCTTCCTCCCCTAAAATCCTCCAGAGGGGAAAGTATCTCATCCTGGCAAAACACGGCCACACAGAGGCCAAAAGCACAGAGAGGCAGCAACATAATTCCGAGTCGGACACTGAGAATACAACCTCTATTTTTTTTTTTGTCCAAAACATGTAGGTTGGTTTTGCTGAGTGTTTTTTCTTCTTTTCTTTTTTTTTTTTTCAACATACTTACTGCATATAAAGTCATGCAAAGAAAAACAGTGCAGACAGTAGATCCTGGTGGATGTACCAAGGCATTCCACATCAGAGTCAATCCCAAGGGAAGAGGGAAAAAGAATGGAAGAAAGAGATGCAAACCCACAGCTGCAGGAGGAGGTGTGAAGAGGAGAAATCCCAGCGCTCTTTTTGGACCCGCATGAAGACACATGCTCGTGAACCCCCCAGAGCTGGGTGGGGGGGCGCTGAGAGGGGTGTGCAGATGTGGGGGATGAAATCCTGGGAAGCACGGTAGTAAGGACCCCAGCTTGGGAGGCAAGCAAGGTAAAGGCCAGGTACTGCCACCCTGACAGCTTCCCCCACTCTCTCTGCCCTGATTTGCTGTTTCTTCATCAGCACTAACACCTGATGTTTCTCCAGTCCGCAAGGAAACCTGGGGACTGAAATGTCAGAGAGCTCCTTCCCCCGGGGACTGAGTCCATCTCAGCCCCAGATAACCACAAGTGACAAAGTCCATCTCAGCGATGACCACAAAAAAAAAAAAAAAAAAAAAAAAAAAAGACCAAGAACAGAAAAAAATACCCCTCAGCCCTCTTCCCACCTCCCTTCCCAACTCAGACCTTCTCACCAATTTGAGAGGTCTAGTTATTACATAAATATCCATTAACACAAAATCCATTTACGAAACACACAGAAGTTTGGCTATAAAAAGGCATGCGGTCCAAGTAGTAGTGATACCTAAACGCTGTTTTCTTTTGCCCCCCAAAAGCAATCAGATTCTCTCCCTTGGATGTGATGAAGCTGGAATTCTCCGGGCCTGATGGAAGGGTGGAATGGGCAGTTAGTGTTGGAAGTAAACTTCAGCAGAAGGAGGAAGGAAAGAAGTGGGGGCACCCTGAGAGGACTGCGCTCCCCACACTGCGGGAGGAGGGTCGGCTGGAGAGCAGGAGAGCAGGACAGTTTGAGAGAAGAGTTAGGAAGGCAGTTTGAGGCGGGAGGCTCCTGGCATCTGCTCCTCTCTCCCCCTCTCCCCCGGGGGAGGTTGGCTCGGGGGACTGGGCGTTCTTCTGCCCTTCCCTAGAGGATCCCCGGAGAGGCGGGATCAGGGAGAGGATCTGGAGGTTGCCACATTCCTCCCAGCTCCGCCCCTCCTCCCCAGCCCCTGGATGAATACACAGCTGGGCACTGTGGCTTCCGGCCAGGGCAAGACCAGGCCAATGACAGCTGAGGGGAGGGGGGGGTCCTCGGGTCCAGCACCCAGGGCACGTGGGCCTGAGGAAGCCCTGCCCTGGCAGGGGACGGGTGGTGACGGGGAGATGTCGCCATTTGCTCTGAAGTCGTGATGGCTTTTGCGAACAGGCAGGTTTTCTTGACACAGGTATGAAGGTGACGGTGATGGTGGTGGTGATGGGATGATGTGATTGGGGGAATTCCAGCAAAATCCAAGTGGGAGAACCAGCAGCCACATTCCACGGACGAACGGTGGATCTCTGCGGTACAGTGCCCCCAGCCTGGTCCTTCAGCTGTAAGACATGGTATGTGCGGTGCGTAATGTGGGTGCTTCCGAGGGCACCCAGCCTGCCCACCTCCTTGGATGGAGTTCAAGCTGCCTCCTGTGGGTCCCCCCAGCTCTTCCCCCTCACCCCCTGGGACCTCCAGGCCTGATCTCCCTGTGGTCTTCCCAGTCGCCGGGTTCCCCAACGTGTACCGTCTCCAGACCGGCACCACCCCGTTCCTTTAGATTATCCTGAATGACAGATGGCAGGAAGGAGGGGCTCTTACTGGGGCAGGACGGAGGGCGCCCCCGATCTGTGGAAGTGGATGATCTGCCATTTGCCATCCCGGCGGTGCCAGACGCGGGTCTCTTCCGACTGGGCCGTGCGGGGGATGCCGCCCGCATCCAGGTACTGCGTGATGCGGATGTAGGCGATGCAGGCCGCCTCGTCACCCATCAGGTGAATGTGGGGATTCAGGATGGTGGTGTGCACAGGCTTGCTGTTCCGGGACCACACTGCAGGCGGGGATGGGAGGGGGCAGAGGGGTCGCACCTGGGGGCCTCCTGCCTCGCTTCCTTCACTTCCCCAATTCTCAGCAACCCTCTCGGCAGAGGCACCTCTGCCTGCCTCGCTTCCCGAAGAGTGGGGCTCTGTGACAGGGCTCAGCTCCCTGGGAGTCAAAGCAGAACTTGTAGATGACAAGCTCATATCCCAGCTGAGATACAGTGGACTTCAAAACAAGCTGAATTCTTCAAATGCAGGGGAATGGAATTTTCGAATCAGCGTATCTCAGACACGCAGGTGAATGGGGAATCAGGTGAGCTTACACCAGAGTCTCAACCCAGATCCCTGTAGAGGCCAGGAGAGTACATTAACAAGGAGGCTGAACTGGGTATAAGATGCTAAATGACAACGGACCCTTTGTCTCCGGGCCAGGGGGACAGTAGGGAGTGGTGGAGACTGTGGTGAATGGGGCACCATGTCCCTTCTATGGAGGTGCCCTGCACACAGCTTCCCTGGTGTTTGCTATGTAAGTGGGACCCGTGTTGCCACACCTGATTTTTCAAGAGAATCTAGAAATCTGGATTTTTATGTCGAATGCCTCATTTTTAATTATTGGCATCAAGTTCAAATTTAAAACATCATACAGACCACATGAAACATGTGTGGTCCAGCTATGGCTTGTGGGTCCCTCATCTGCCACCTCTATTCTCAACACGTAGAATGATGGAAACGTGAAGAATATTAAAATTGTATAAATCTTAGAATCTTGGGATTATAAGGATGGTGTTGGTGGGGATGGGGTGAAGTCGTGGAACTTTTCAGAGTTAGAGGGCAATGCATAGCTCTTGTAATCATGGCAGAACTGACAAAAGAACCAGAAACCAGCTCTCTCTATGTGAAATATTACTATTATTATTATCATCATCACCACTATCAACATCATCATCATCTTGGTTCTAGGAACTCTCAATGCTTTCAGCAAGATAGAAAACAAAAGCACAGAAAGACGGTGACCTAGGGAGGGGCTGGACAGGGATCACCAGGATCTTGGCTTCAGAGGAACCCTCATGCCTTTTCTTAGTGCAGCCCAAATGTATCCGAATCCATGAAGAGCTGATTTAAAATATAGACTGCCCAGCCCCACCCTTCAAGATGCCAGTTCAGGAATCTATAATATTAAAAAGCTCCCTCTCCCCGCTCCCTCCCCCATCCTCTGATTCTGATGCCCAGACAGGTTTGTGAGCCACTGATTTCCCGAAAAATGTTTAAAAAAATTTTTTTTTCCAGGACTTCAGAAAGCATCCAATAGTATCCACCCCTAAATATTCCAATCACACTATACCCAGGCTTTGGATAAATGACTCAAAATCACTGAGTCTTACATATGTAGACTAAGAGACTTTTACAGTTCTGGGACCTTGGACAGAGAGAGTGCAGAGCTTTTGTGTTATATAGGCTTGGGGGTGACCTCAAGGTCAGAGCTCAGAGGTCACCCCATGGCCCTCCCACAAAATGCAAGGAGGCCTCCATAAGCAGCCTTGACAGCATCTGGGGCTGGAGGCACTCAACACCGTCTAGTTCAATGCATCCATTTAGCAGACCTGGAAACTGAGGTCCAGAGAAGCAATCGGACTTGTCCAAAGCTAGGCCAGTTTCTGAAAGAAACGCAGTAGAACCTAAAAGAAGTCAGTCTCGAGGTGGGTCTAAATTAGGACAATCTAGAACAATCTCCAAAGGGACAAACAGAGCTTAGTATTGTTGAGGGCACTGGGCATTACTGCTGTCTGCCGGGGCTAGGGTCCTGAGGGTCATTTGTAAATCACTGGCCACCCTAATGTGGTATCTTTTGAACAGACTCTAGGCTTCCATTTTCTACCCTCATGGATAGAATGGGAGAAAGGGCCAGGTCCTCCAGCAGGAAAAAGCAGGTAGGAGGGTGGGACTTGCCCCAGGGCAGGCAGTTACTCTGGGTCTTGGTCTTGTGGGTCCTTTGATGTGACCAGGTGTCCAAGCCCAGAGTCCAGGGGGCTGGTGCTGTGATGGGGCTCGCTGCCAGGATGCAGATCAAGGGCTAGCACAGCCGTCTGTGTTTTTTTTCCCTTTGGCCATCCCTCAGTCTTCAGAGCCGGTTCAGCCTGGTCTCTGCTCTGCTCTGTGGGGATTGTGGAATTCTCTGGGGAACCAGTGCCACCCACCCCCCAGGACAGACGAGTATAGAGGTGGCCATGGTGATCAGCTAGGGAACTCCAGGGTGATGGGGACGGTGGGGTCCAGCCACCTCTCCTCACATTCTATCTCCATTGCTAGCCTTAGAAAATCAGAGTTTGATTTGTCAAAGGAAAATGCAACTTCCTTCTTCACGGCTTTTTGGGGATGCTCTTAAGCCCTCATACTCTACAAGATTCCATCAGACTGCATGCAGGCAGGAGAGGAGTGTCCATCTAGGGGACACTAATGCCCCGGTGACGGGGGAGCACAGGGAAGGAAGGAGGCGCTGGAGAGAATCGGGACCGGGTTCTGCCACCAACTTTCTGGGTTCCTTTGGACAAGTCATTCCCTTCTCTGGACCTCTGTACAATGAAGAGTTGGACTAGATCCAACTTCAATTGCTTAAGTGTCACCTTTATTTTTACCATCTACCTGTACTTACGTTATGAAAATATTTCCTTAAATTGATTCACTTTATTAATTTATATGAATTTATTTTAAAAGAAAACTTTCTAGTACAATCATTAATGAATAACCAGTCTCATAGAATACAATTTTAATAATAAGTCCAGTTAAAATGAAATCAAGTTATGTAATCCTAGCTCCATGCTCTTGCCTGCAAGGGATCTGAGCCTGAGACCACTGTCTTTTTGATAATGAGGTGAGTTAGAAAGCATTAGGTGCTTAAGACAGACTAGCATTAAACTGACCCTTTCCTCTTGGCGGAGCCAGATGTACTGAAAGAGAATTTAGAAAGGGACAAACTTTCTCACTGTGTGAACCAATGCTCTTTCAACTGGTGTCCACATGCACCAGAAATCACCTAGCATAGCCTTGGTGGTACGTGCCTTCCCTCTGGGGGACCCTGGATGTGCCACTTCTCAGGGCCTCCCTCCGGGTCCTGAGCTGCAGGAGTCTAACCTGCGTGTGCTTTGGTTCGTCCCCGTCTGACCCCTGGCCAAGGTGAGACACAGACATAGGCAGAAAGCGCCCTAGGTCAGGCCCAGCCTCAGCCCCCTGACAGCCCCGGGTTGCAAAGCTGCCAGGGTCTCTCCTGCAAAGGAGAGGCCCGGGAAGGACAGACATGCGGACAGAGACCTAGACAAATAGGCAGGGCACAGCAGTGTGAGCTTGGTCCTCTCCTTCCCCAGACTGCCCACCCACGGTGGCACCTGCACAACAACAACAACCCATGTGCCAGCTTGTGACCAGCTGGGTATCTGGGGTGGCTGCAGGCATTCAGGTGACAGTAACTTGGGGGTGTGCCCTGGTGGGAAGGCTCCCTTATCTGTAGAAAGGGAAGAAAGGTCTTCCTCAGGCCCTACCAGGGTCATGGGCAGGCGAGGGCTGGGAGGGCTTGTCACGCTTGTCCCAAGTCCTCATCCGCAGCCACTGGCGTCGGACGGTCCAGGGTTCGGAGAGGGAGCCAAGATGGTACCAACCCCTGTCCACACAGGACCTTCCTCTTCGCTGCCTCCTGAGCTGCCCCGGGGGCCCTGCCCGTCACCCTGCTGTGCCATCTGGCAGGACACGGAAAAGAGCAGACAACAGGCAGCCCAGAGGGAAGGGATTGCTCACGGTTTTCAAAATAGAATCGATGGAAGTCCAGGCCCTCGACCAGGTTCCCTAGGGCCTCGGGTTCGAAGGCTGTCATCCCGGGGTCACACATCTTCCTGGGGGGAGGAAGTCAGAGGAAAGATGGGCTAGGGTGGCCTCTCGGGTGCCCCCCTCTAAATTCCAGGGGCCTGGACCCCGGGAAGGCAAGCCTGTGAAATAAAAGTGACTGCACCCACCTCACAGGATCAGTGAGGTTGGCGGATGGGGCAGGGCTGGTCCAGTTACGGTGTGGGGCATTGCTGACTGGCTAGTGCCACTGAGAACTAGGAAGCCTGGGTCCAGGTCATGGCTCTGCCACTTACAGGTTATGAGACCCCCAGCAAGGGACTTAACCTCTCTAAGCGTGAGCACCATGAATGTCCTGCATTGTACGCTGCCCCAAGGCGCCGGCGGGGATAATTCAGCCTGTACACTCCTCTCCAAATTACATCCCCCGCCCAGGGCAGCAGATCCATCCAGAGAGGGCTTTTCCTAAATGGTCTTCCTTGGGTGGGGAGACATTTTCCTTCACTAAAGTGAAGCAACTTCTGTTCACCAAGCAGGTGTGTCCCTGGAGGGAGTGTGTTTTGCTACTTTAAACAAAGTTGCCCTATTGTTGGCAGCAGCCCTCCTGGTGAGCCACACTTTCCTCTTCTGTAAGATGAGGAAAACAGCATTCCAAGAAGTGATGCCTGGGAAGAAGGAGCGCAGGGCATGGCCGATGAGGCCCACTGCTCTGCATTTTCGGCTCAGTGCTCCCACCCAGGTCTGTTTTCTGGGAGACCCTGACAGCCAGACGGAGGAAGGAAAAAACTGTCCCCCACCCCTAGGTCTCTGGGATCTTCTGTAATACAACATGGACCCCTGTGATGATGACAATGAAGCCAGGGACAGGAAGCGCCCCAGGCCAATCAAAGATCCTGACATGGGGAGGGACTGAAAACAGTGGAGGAGGGCATTGGGCCAGCATCGTCTGAGCTGGACGCCGTGGGGAGAGCAGGGCGCTCTGCCCTTGCTCTGCCCTGACTGCCCTGTCTCTGTGACTCCAGACAACTCGCTTCTGCACTCAGGACCTCAGATTCTCTCGATGGATTAGCCAGGAGCTGGGGGTTTGTGCTCAGACCATATGGGATGCTCAGGACCCTTCCAGATCCAGAATCCTCTAAGGCTGGGGGTCTGAGCCCTGACCGCCTGGAAGACTAAGCAGCCCCCGGCCAAGAGGAACCCCTCTCCAGAGGGTCTCTGGGTGTCCCTGCCTCTGAAGGGACTCAGAGACCCTCTGCTCCAATTCCATTGTACGTGTAGG